TCATAGGGTAAAAATTGGGTTGTTTCCCATTCTTGACCCTCAAAACATAAAATTCCTTTCAAAAACCTTGCTGTGCTTAAAAACCAAATAATTTAGTATACTAAAGTGTTTTTTACGATTGGTTATGGAGAACATTTTAAAAAACTTTAACTAAGAATTTTTATTCAGTTTTAATGGATGAAAAGTAAACTGTTGTAGTTTGTTTGTTTAAGGATAGGCCTACATTTTGATCAAATTTGGAAATTAATTTCATCCTAAGGTATTAACATTTACTAAAACGCATTTTATTACCCTGTAGCAGCAAACCTACTCATTAAACCTAATGTTACTTAAAAATTGGGAATAAATCTGCCATTCACAGGAAATATTTGAGTTAAAATCCTTTTAGGCAAACAATTTCAAACTTCAAAACATTATTATCTTGGTTCTCACACTTAAGTTTAATCTTCAACCCAACAAGTAGTACAGTACAATGGTGCATTGCGGCAGTGGTTGTGCGAAGGTTGGATTACACATTCGAGACACCTTTCTGCTAACCTCACTACAACACGTACTGTATTAGCTCTAGGTTTGGTTGTTGGCTTTGTAAACCTGTTCTTCAACTTAAAGTACACCGTGCGATATAGATATCATTTCCCATTCATTTGAAGTAAATTTTAGAACGAACAATTATTTTGGTGCAACTAATTGAGATAACAATAAAATTCTGTAAAATAATGTTTCATTCTTTATACAACATAAACCTAAATTTTAAGTGTAACGAAATACACTACAGTTCTAAAGATTACATAGTTAAAAGGGGTACTGAGTAGTTCAATATTATAATGGTAGTTGGTGGTTACAAACGAAAAGCCCTCTAGAGAACTTATTACTAGTGATTAGATTTATAAAGTCCTCAAATCGGTGGGAACATATATCGGATTTTGTCGGTTTAATTTAAGTTCTAGGTTATAATATAGTTTATATTATAGTTTAGGGTAGTATGGAGATAGATTAGATTTTAAATAGACTACAAAAAAGTATTTAGATAAATTTATTGACCAAAGAATACTCTCAGGGTATGCTAATGATTTCCCCGACCAAAGCTCGGTCTCCAGGTACTAAATACGTTTAAACTATCAACTTAGATGCTATTACAAAGTACTTACTTCTTTGTGTACATACAACTGTACATCATCTTTAGTGCAAAAGCGACATCAAGTTCAAAGCACTGCTTTCACAACCACAACTCCGAACACATTTTCGGAAACGCCTCTTGGAAAAGTGCCGTGTGCACACTTTTTTCTGAGTAACGCCTGTCGGATGCCACTGACGATGATCTCGGATGGACCATACGAGGAGCACGTCGAGCCCGCGGCGGAGGCGGCCGCTGCTCATATTTAATTCATCTCTCTCTATAAGGCCTAGACTCGCTGTGGTTTGATATAATTGGGACCCTGAGGCTCGACTGACCGAACACCAGAGTGGATATACAGGGTGGATATACAGGTTGGATATACAGGGTGGATGTACAGAGAGGATATACAGGGTGGATATACAGGGTGGATATACATGGTGGATATACAGGGTGGATATACAGGGTGGATGTACAGTGTGGATATACAGGGTGGATATACATGGTGGATATATAGAGTGGATATACAGGGGTGGATATACAGTGTGGATATACAGAGTGGATATACAGGGTGGATATACAGTGTGGATATATAGAGTGAATATACAGGGTGGACATACAGTGTGGATATACAGGGAGGATATGCAGGGTGGATATACAGGGTGGATATACAGTGTGGATATACAGAGTGGATATACAGGGTGGATATGCATGGTGGATATACAGGGTGTATATACAGAGTGGATATACAGAGTGGATATACAGGGTGGATATACAGAGTGGATATACAGGGTTGATATACAGGGTTGCTATACAGGATGGATATACAGGTTGGATATACAGGGTGGATATACAGAGTGAATATACAGGGTGGATATATAGAGTGGATATACAGGTTGGATACACAGGGTGGATATACAGTGTGGATATACAGTGTGGATATACGGTGTGGATATACCTAGTGGATATACAGGGTGGATTCGTACGTAAGGGTGAGATACAGAATTTTAATTGTGTGATGATTCCCAAAAATAATTATTATCCTTACTTTCGCCCCATAGAAGATGAAAGTATCGCATTGTCTTCGTCAAATTGTTGTTTGAATTTTGGGTGGAATTAAATATTTGTTTTTGGGTGCCTCTGAACCCAAAAACCGTGATTTTCGAAGTGGGTACGTATGTGTACATGTTAAGAGTTACAAACTACACCTTTGGTTCGATTTTGATGAAATTCGGTATGTGGGTACTACAGGTACCTCTCTATAATATATCTCCAGTGTTTTTTTTTACATTTTATGGGGATTTGTATTTTTGATAATGATTTTTCCATTAAAATCCCATAAATCGACGGTAAATTTGATTTTTATTAAAAACTGCTAGAGCGATTTTGTAAAATGTTATATACTGTAATATGATAACCTAAACTCTAAAACAAGTGGTACAACCCCCCAATACTGTAAAAATTACTATTCAAAGTGATTTCAACTTGTGTGATTTTTCCCCACAAAATCATAGTTAGTCCCACCGCTTGCCTATGATAAGGGTTGTTGACACACTAATGGGAGAAAGTATGTGACAGATTGCTGACACAGTTATTGTAGATAATATTTATACGATTGTGGAGGCCAGTAAACATTGACTATAACTTACGACAACGCTATCAAGGACGTATCTCTCAAAAGGTTCATTGTGTCTGTTGTGTCATGTTGCGCTACCTTGCTAAAACCATTGATGAATAATAATTTCAAAAAATTAAATCTAGGATCTTTCAAAACTGCGATTGTATATTTCATCACTATGGCGTAAAGTGACTCTTTTTTACCCGAGTTTTAGTTTTACGATCGATGCGAAGCCGAGGTCGGAACATAAGCGAAAGTTGAAACTGTTGAATTAGGCCTACACTTTTTCCCAGTGTGATGAACTATGTAAATAAGGTTAAAAAACTACAAAACTTTTCATGTAAATAAAACCTCTCTAAGACCTCTAACTTGTTTTCAATTATTTAGTTGATGCAAACATGCAGCTGTTTAGCAAGTGATTGAGTTATTTCGACTATTGCGATTGTTTTGGTGTACATTCGATATGTCGAACTGTTAGCAAGCCTGCAAGAATAAGCTACAGCCGATTAAAACAAGCGATACCGGGTACATACTTCCGATATATGCGATTGTTTGCAATCGATGTCTAAAACAAATGACTTTTACTCCCTAGTGACAAAAAATGCCTTTTACTCCCAAAGAGCTACTTTAGACCCACAACACAACGCATGTATTAAAACCAACTGTTTTTGCTGCAGTATGACGAAAACTCATTTTTCACCCTTAAAACATTTTGCGCGAAGTTAACCAGCCTTCAAAACAGTTGGAACAAACGCAAACAGTGGCACAGTCCTAAGATAAACAATCCAACAATTAATTATTACAAAAATTGATCACGAGCCAAATGCGCTACCATTGACGTACAGGTGTACCAAACCAACCTACGTAATACAGTGCAGTTGTGCAAACTGTGCCGAGCTAAATCCGAACGGTTTTTGATTCTGGCCCAAAATCTCCGGGGTTATTTCGGATTCCATTCACTGAAAACTTCCTTGTTCGCAGCAAATTGGATTTGTGTAATATTTGTCACTTGTGGCATCTTGGGAGGGCGCCAAATATTCTTCTAGCCCTTGTTTCGTAAGTGAATGGAGTGTTAAAAAAGCATGTCGTTTATTTCTCATTACTGCCAAAAACCGAATGATACAATCAAATACAAAATTAGTGGTGTAAAAACTTTGACTCTTACAATTGGAAAGCAATTTGTTAGTACCTAGAGAAGTGTTCATACAATGGGTTCTTTTTACTTTCTCCTTCGCATAATTACTGTACTAATAAATAGCTGTCGTCGTGTTCTAAAAAAAGATCATAAAGTTCATTAGCATTTGAATGGCCTCTACTTTCCATGAGCAATAAAAGATAGTAATCTCAATAAGTAGCTAAATATAATATGGCAGTAAAATTTTACGGCTAAATAGTTAGACGTTTGCACGTTATTTTTACGACAATTTAGGTGGCATTATAGCATGATAACATAATGAAATATTTAGTCTGTTTAATTCATTTAATCGTTACAAGTGCCATAATTTTGTAATTCGTTGAACATACCACTAATTAACTGAGCAAATTTTATTACGTAGCATATTATTATAAATATGTATGCCAAAAGGTTCCATCACTTGTAGTGGAAAGAAATTGTAGTATATTTCACAGTCACGAAAGGATGTATGGAAATGTTCTACTTTCGTATACAGAGTGATGAAAAGGTAATTTTTGGTGAACCTTCAAGTGGCAAAGTATAATAAAGTAAACTTTAATTTTGTATTTAGAACAAAGAACATCGATCAATTAGGCTACTCCTTCCAATAACTTCCTTTATCGTAGAGCCTTTTTCACAGGGCGCAATTAATTAGTCTATAAATAAGTTAGTCTGTCTCGTGGATAGAAGTATAATTCAAATTAAATTAAGCTAGGGAGGGAATTAAATAAACAAACAAAAGCCGAAACACATTAATAACAATAGTTGAATTAACGGACTTAATATGGATAAACAAATTAATAATAATAAATACTAAAAATACCAGTTTTCTATTAACGTTTTACAGGTTTTGTAACTAAACAATTTTAAAATTTTGGGAAAATAAAAGAACCTAACCTTTGTTATAATTAAAATTAGATTAATTTATTTATTTGTACAGTAATATAATTAAATTCAACTTCCAGCTTGTACTCAAAATCAGATTTAGTTTCGCCCATCTCGCCAATTCAATAATGCCTACCTGGTAATCACAAATCCAATGACAACTAATTAATTAATTATGGTCTCATTAACCTGGACATGACCCAATTTACCTTTTAGGCTTCCACCGGCGTTTCAGTACTCCCAACATGTAGTAGACCACCAAGAAGCCAATCAGGTGGAAAAACTGATCCAGGAAATCCAGAATCCACAAAGCACTTTGAAAACACACCTCACCGTAAGTTACATTATACACTTATCACCACACACGATAGGTTATGTTCACTACACTGACGCGACGCGGACGATAGCGCTCTCTACCGTACACTGTGTGAGTGCCGAAATAAACGTCAAAATGGCGCGCTCGGCAATCATCGGTCGTGCTCGGACGTTTCCGGCAGCCGACACGTGTGTGTGAGAGAGACAGAGTGAGAGAAAGAGAGAGCGTGAGTCACCTGTCTGTTGCTCTCTTGACCCCAGCCAAGTGTTGCTAATTTCCTTTCCCTTTGAATCAGCTGATCGTTGACTTGTGCGAAGTGCAAGGGGATGAGAGCAAAGTTGGAGCTCTTTAAAATTTGAGAATTTTATAAACAACTACTTTTAGGGGTGTCATTTTCATTGCATTTCTTTTCTTATATTTACGCAATGGTCCAACGCCCTACTAAAATGTAATGTAAAATGTAATGTTATTACACCTATTTGTTTATTTCAATCTTTATTGTTTTATTTTGTTAATGTTTATCATTATTGTTAGTTTTTTAGAGGTTAACTGTAAGAAAGGACCGTGAGGTTCTAAGTTCGCCTCAATAAAGAAGGATTTTCATTTCATTTCATAAAACGTCACCCCTTATAGCTGGAATTAATTGGCCCTATCGTCCTATGGAAAAATTGTATCTGCTACGAATACTAGAAAAATACCGATCATAAACATAAACATTAAACAATTGACGTTTTTTGGCCCGAAAGTAAACAAAGCGCCTATACTAATAACATTAATTAACATTTGGTCGTACCAAAAACGTCATTTGTTTATGTTTATGATCCATACCGGGTGTTTTCTAGTACCGTATTTGTGGTACCTGTGTACAGATTTGATTCGCCTGGGATCGAACCAGAAGCCTTGAGATTCAAAGGCGAGGGCTATATTAAGCTGCTGAGCATAGAATAGGCGCCCACCGGGCAACTCAGCGGGTGACGCGGCGCGGCGCGGCGCGGCGCGGCGCGGCGCGACGCCGTGGAAAAAAGTTGCCACGTATCCGTGCCATGTTATCTTATGGACTGACGCCCACCTAGCAACCCAGCGGGTGGCGCAACGCGGCGCGGAAAAAAAACTTCTTCTCGAATCCGGCAGTGAGAATTCGGTGGAGAATTTCTTCCTCTCGTGTTGCGGCGCCTCCGTTGAGTTGCCTGGTGGGCGCGGGGTAGAGGCACGGAAACGGCGTCTGCCCCTCGTCTGCCGCTCATTCGGGTGTTTTCGGAAAGTATCGTGAGCCCTTCGGGAGTGTTCGGGTCCGAATCGAAGTGCACTGTGCATCCCCTCCAAAAGAATAATTCTCAGCGCTGCCCCGCGCTTCCGCTAGAGTTGCTTGGTGGGCGCGAACCCTGGAGAAGCGGACGGAAGTTTTTCTCCGCGTCGCGCCGTGCCGCGCCGCGCCGCGTCACCCGCTGAGTTGCCCGGTGGGCGCCTAGCTTTAGAAATACCGGTACATAAAACTATAGAAGTTTCTCCCGCGGTACAAGATTGAGATGAATATAACATTTATAGGTATGTGTCGAGTAGCAAAGGTGCCTGGTAAATACATCATCAGCGTTCACTCAAATGTAATGTAAGGCCCCGGCCACACGTGGCGGATGAACCGCTTCCGGTTGGGGTTTCAGAGTCTACGTACTGTATTAGAACATGGTTTAGTTCACTCGTTGTAGTCATGGACGAAACGCTAATGTTAGTATGTGCTTTAGAAGCGTGTGGTGAGCTGGAACCAAAAGTTAACCGAAATCATTGGGTGCATCCTTTCATTACTGATAAACCCTTCGTGTTCCAAACATTTTACCAACACATGCGAAACCATAGTGCGGAGTTTTTCGGCTATTATCGGATGTCAATAGCATCGTTTGACGAGCTACTTGAATTGCTTCGACCGCACATAACAAAGGAACATACACTCATAAGAAATTCAATTAGTGCTGACGTCTGACAATAACATTGAGGTAGTTAACATGTTTTGCTCTATTTTATTAATAAGAACTAATTAATAAGAAATAAGTGGCGATTTCGTCTCAAAACAGTTTGATTTTACACTTATAAACCAAAACGCACAAAACACAAACTCGATAAAACAACTACAAATTCCCGAATATGAGCTCCATCCGCGCGGACGATCCGTATCGTGTGGCCACTCTCATAAGACTACGTGTGTCATCCCCTCCAACGCGGCTTATGATCGCGCGGACAATCCGCGACATGGCGCGGACAATCCGCCCAGGCGGCTTAGGATCGCCCCGTGTGGCCACTCTCATTTGATCCAATGTGTTGTCGGACCACGCGGATCATCCGCGTGGTCCGTCCGCGCGGATGATCCGCGTCGTGTGGCCCCGGCCTAAGCTACATTCGTCAGAGATATTTAAACAGGCTTAAAAAGCTTTGTCACGTAAAATATCGATGACTAAACATAAGTAATGTTCAATTCATCACGAGAGAGAAGCGTTTACTAATATGGACAATATTTTAATTATTCTGATTAATTAAAGTCCGGTTTAGGTAAGATCAACTTGGCTGTATTGCTGTACAGTGTAGGTATCCTTTGTGAATAGTGAAGTAAAATTTGCAGGAAACCCCCCGAATAGTGCATTCTAAATAAAAATTTAAAAAAGTTAACTAATGAGACGCTACGGTAAATGATTGCTAACTCAGTTACAACATTTAACTGCTTTCAAATATAAAAAATACAAAAAGCTTTCATGAAAAAGCTGTCTGGATTGAGGAAGTCCGAATCAATGGGTCCAATTTGATAGGGTTTACTGTAGCTATTTCCGTTTCTGTCGACTTTTTTGTCATTTTTTAACACAGTGTAAACTAAAGTACGCTCTAAATAAATATCTTACTTGTATGTTTTAATATTTAAATAAATACCTAAATGCTACAAACATACGGGAGCGGAAAACCTACCATTTGTTATGTCATAAAACAAAATCGAATAGTTTCTACCGTAATTGAGTTCTCAAAGCAATACTTTTGTTCAAACACATGCATCACTATAGATGTCTATTAAATGTAAATAGCATCGGCTCCAAACCAGAGCCTTGTGGCACCCCATTAGCATTGCTCAAGGCGTCCCTCAGGGATCAATAATGGGCCAGGAAGTCTTCTAATATTTACATTTAAATCGGCCCCCTTGGACTTGCCCAGGGACATGCATCTTCTAAGATTTATGGCTACTTTATATTTATATATTGAGTTTAGGGTGTAGCCCACACGGGTAATTTGTGTTTAATTATTGTTAATAACTGGCCTGAAGGCATATCTTTTCGATTTGGAGTATTTTATCAATGAAGTTATCTTTATGAAGCTTGATGAGTAGTTAAATTAAAGTACTAAATGCTACATCATGAGAATGACTTTTTTCTCCATATGTGGAAAAGTAACAATACAACGTAAAAAAGTAACAAATCATAATGTAGAGTAAACTAGGATACCATCAGATAATAGCATTTATACTATTACATAACCAACTTTGATTTAAATCAGTTAGATAAGAAATTTAAAATAGGTACTAACCAGAATTATTACTGCAATGAATCGTCACAACAAAGATGCATGTCTTCACAGGTCACGTCAAGGTCACTTGACACTAAATGTACTAAAACACACTCACGAACACTACGCGATAGAGATACGAACACTCACTACAAGGACACAACCGAGACTACTCGTAGTAACATGAAAATACAGCGAATGATTCAACGACAACAATGAGCCAATGAGAAACTAGCAAGTCATGCGAGTAGATCAGCTGATCAGCTGACTTGAGGTTAATCAGCTGTCATGTCAACTAAATATGTTTTTTGTTAGAATACCAGCCAGCATTTGAATCTACGCTAATATTTCACTATCTTCAATACAAAATATAAACATGTTGTGTGGTATACAAATGTATTTACCTTCTAAAAGAGCTACGGAGTTGAAATTTGGCATGGTCTTGGTCCCAAGCAACCGCAAAATTCCCAAGAGTGACATATTCCATTTTAATCCTCCCAATTTGCAATTCTCTCTATCTTATTCTTATGGAAAATTAAATTGTAAGTGAATTGTTTTTGTAAGTGGATCTAAACCTTTGCTAAACACGCTAGAGAATTAAAGTTTCGTAAAAGTGTATCACGTGGGCCTAGATTCTCGGCAAAATTTTCAATGATAGAAATTGTTTTATTGAAATGGAATATCTTTACATATTCATGGGAAAACTTAGAATTATTCTCATGAACAAGAGTGTTAGTTTAATGTTAAATGTGTTTCCCATTTATAAAACCACGTATCTTGGTCGGGTTTCCAGTACCACTTCTTCGGCCCACTCAGACTCAGGAGTACAGTAATTGAAATACGAGTTCGAATCAATCAATTTAGCCACTAAAGAAGCCCGCCTTTTCTCGCCCCCTGTCAAGAGTTGGCGGGAAATTAAGTGTTTTACGACACAGAGTAATCATAAACCATCGATATATAACACAATGCGTTATATATAGATGCCATAAACATGGGTGTTTACTGGTATTCCTCATTGCTATGGATTACTCGATGCAAAGGACAATTAGTTTAAATTGTTAATTCTCAAACGGATATAGTTATTTTTTTCTGTTGTTTAAGTGCAGTATTAAAACATTATGGCTATGGTAGATGTCTTATTATCATACCGTAAATTTAAAGAACCAAATTTTATCAAACTGTGTCCTACTCCATTACAAACGCAAAGCTTGAGTATAACTGCAATAAACATTTATACTTATATGCCAACCCCGTACGAAGGACGGGTACTCTGCTAGTTAATTCATATGTTTAAACAATAATTTGGGTAAACAAAAATACATGTAATATTTTTTTGCGAATATCCCTGTATGAATAAGCTATTACTGGAAGGGGTTCGGAAAGACCTAGACTCGGAACTGATTTATTTTGTCAATTTGATGCCCCCGTACACCAAAAACACTCATTAAAATTTGTATTTGTGTAAGCTAAGTCAACACGAAAACTCGAATACTTTTGGTGCGATGTTGATAAAATTTTGCATGGATGTGTTGAACTGGATAAACTTGAATCAA